CATATATCATATAGCTCAGAAACAAACAAAATCAGTTACCGTTATGCCGTGTGCTAATGTGCACTGTTCTCACACTACACTGAGTTTAACACCAGAAATAAAAATAATAAATATGGTTTCATATTTAAAATGTGACATTATTCAAGTCTGGGGAGGGTTTGTGTTACCATTTTAAAATCAGAAAAGGACATGGACAAAAGACTTCTCAGAGGGCTCATCAGTAGCTACCTACACAGCAAATCCTTGACACTTATAAGTATTTTTGGTAGCAAGGGTTAGTGAGTTCTGAGTGCAAGATAGACCTGTGAAAGCTGATGGCATTTATGAAAGACCACATAGAGGACCTAGTAAAATCTGTGAAAATTTTCGCTGACGGTCCTCAACTTTTTAACAAATGATATGAATGTTTCACAAGTCTTGATGTACTGTGATGCTCGAATACATATTTCTGCTGAAAAAGAGCTACAGAATCATGTAATAAAATTAGAAAAAAAATAGGAAGCTCTGACTGAGGACAAGCACTGGGTGCAAATTTTGAAGCAGAACAGAAATTCCTTCGGAAAGATTGCTAGGGATATTCCCCCATCTTGAGTACTGAGATAGATAGGTGCTGAAGATATATATTTTTTTTTGTTAGAGGAAGATAAAAGACTACTTCAGATAGGAACTGGCCGTGTTCTCTCTCCCAGGATGACTAAATCTGAGCTGTACCTGCTCTGAAACGATGCTTCATTTTCTGAGCAAGGTTGCTTCTGATAAAATCACACCTTTTCAATCAAAAAGAACTCTAGTTTATACTTATTTGAAAACTAAAATCGAAACAATCTAAAACAAAACTTTTCCAAGCAACAAAATACATTTTATATTTTTTGAATGCAAATTTCAGTTTAAAATATAATTCTAGAAAATCTCTTGTTCACCTAAAAGAATTATACAGAGGGTAAACCTATACATACAAATATCTGGTATGCAAATTGATTTTTTGCTATACACTTTTCACAGCTAAGCTGTCTGGGAGACAATACTGGAAATCTCTGCATCCTGGGTATACAAGGCTTACAGGACAGAGACAGCAATAGCAAGTACCTTCTAGTTTAAATATTAACTGAAGTATTGTCAAGCTGGTCAAAGTTTGTCCATACTTCCATAGTGACCACGACAGTGACAGCAACAGTAACATTTAGTAATATACTCAAATGAAAAGGCTCTGTGCTCTCCAGAGTGAGCAGAGAATGGTTTGCATGGCCAGCATGACAGCAGCACTAAAGCGCATGGGAGTTTACACAGAAGTTTCTCAGTTGCTCATGGGAAACTCTCAGGTGTGATATGGAATGGAAGCTGAAGGGATGATGAAAACAATTGTAGCAAATGTTCTGATACAGTCCTAGTTTTGTTATTTCTAAAAAAGGACAATACAGAAAATGACAAGATATTAACGTCACCCTGACGCTAAGGGAGCAAGGCAAAGCACAATAAAATTGTTTATATTAATTACTTCAGACAGGTAAATAAAATTATTCTGAAGTTTTAGCCATAGCACAAGCAACATAGCTCATTAAAAACACTCGTCTGAATATTGCTGACTATATATCTACTTTTTATTTTATGTAATTGAGAAATTCCTTAAAAATTTGATTGAAAAGATATACCTGTTTCTGCAGTCAGTAATGAAATGCCTTAAACCATGCTTTTTAAAAACAAATAACTGTAAGCAGAATAATAATTTATGGTTTTGATCATTTTCAATCAGTAACTAGAAATTAGAAATACTTGAAAATGCAAGGCTTTTTTAAAAGTGTGAGAGTGAAACTACACAATGTATTGCCATTATATGTGCTAATCTTCTGTTTTGGAAATGTCTCTCTACACTTTGCTGGAAATGAGAATGAATAACTGTTTACAGCTAATTGTCCCTGCTCATAATACTAAATAGCAATAAAAATGAGTTGTAGGTACATTCTATTTTGATCTTTTTGTTAAGTTTGCCTTAACGTTTCATTAAGTTAGCCTCGAATATGTGCATCCCTATCTAGTTGATGTCAAAGGACTCTGTGCCAAAAGGGTCCAAGTGTGCACCTGGGCTGCACTGTGATCCCACACCACGGCTGTGAATTCTGGACCATAGAGGAGTAGAGGGCACTCTGGTGAGATCCATGACTTGCAGAGGGATGGAGAGGAGAAGTGAAGGCCCTGCAGCACGAGGAACCTTCACATAACTCAGATACCGGCTGGATAGACGAGGGGAGAGTGGTGGATGTCGTCTATCTCGACTTCACCAAGGTTTTTGACACCGTCCCTCACAATATCCTCCTGGGCAAGCTCTGGAAGTGTGGGATAGATGAGTGGACAGTGAGGTGGATTAGGAACTGGCTGGATGGCAGGGCCCAGAGAGTGGTGATCAGCGGTGCAGAGTCTAGTTGGAGGCCTGTAGCTAGTGGGGTCCCCCAGGGGTCTGTCCTTGGTCCAGTCCTGTTCAATTTATTCATCAATGACCCAGATGAAGGCACAGAGTGCTCTCTCAGCAAGTTTGCTGATGACACCAAACT